AGTCCTTAACCGCATTGACCCTCTCATGAAGACCCTAGTCCACCAGACTCATATGAGTTTTGTCCCAGGTTGTCACATAACTAATAATCTTATCATTCTGCATAAAGTTATCCACTCTATGGGGCTAAAGAAGGGGCAAGGGACAAATGGTGCTGGCGATTAACTTGCCTAAGGCCTATGATAGGTTAAGCTGGGACTTTCTGCGGGAGACACTTGTGGGAGTCGGTCTGCCAGATAAGATTGTAGAGGGCATTATGCAGTGCGTGACTTCAACCTCGATTCGGGTTCTTTGGAAAGGCGGCTTGATGAAGGAGTTCACGCCTTCCCGTGGACTGAGACAGGGTTGCCCAGTCTCACCGTACCTGTTTACCTTGTGCATGGAAAAACTAACCATATCATTCAGTGTGCGATTACAGAGAAGAAGTAGAAGCCTATCCGCAATTCCCCAAGTGGACCCCTTCTCTCCCACCTAATTTTTGCTTACGACCTCATTCTTTTTGCAGAAGCAACAGAGGCACAAGGGGGTGTGGTGGTGGAGTGATTGGACCGGTTATGTCTTGCGCCTGGCCAACAGGTCAGCAAAGACAAATCAGTCGTGTTCGTCTCCAACAATACGCCTCATAAACTTTGTGCCTCTATTGCTCGAGGGCTCGAGATGCCTATGACACAAGATCTCGGTCGGTACCTTGGGGTCTCTATCCTGCATATGCTGGTAACTAAGGTTACTTACCGATACATGCTAGATCGCCTAGAGAACAAGCTTTCAGGTTGGAAAGCGCGAAGCTTGAACTTTGCGGGACGAATCACCTTGGTCATCTCTATCCCGGACTTCCTGCAAGCCTATAGGATGCAAACCATCCTCCTTCCCCAGTCTATTTGCGACTCAATCAATCGTAAAATTCAAAGTTTCATCTAGGGAACTTCGGAGGGGGCCAGGAGGGTCCACCTTGTGCATTGGGAGGCGGTGTATCGCCCTAAGAAAGATGGACCGCAACGCCCATGATCTCAATCTCGCTTTCCTCGCCAAGATTGCCTGGTCTTTGTTAAAATTCTGGACGAGTTGTGGGTTCATGTTTTGCAGGCTAAATATTTCAGAAAAGTGGATGGAGTAATCGTCGCAAAAACTTCGGCTCGGATGTCCAATATATATCAGGGAGTTAAGAAAGCCTAGCTGATCATGAAGATGAAGATGCACATGAGCATCGAGGATGGTCAGTCCACCTCTTTCTGGACAAAAAATGGATTGACAATGGGGAAATGCTTATCAACCTGGCCAATGAGGATGCCCCTGAGATGGATCGGACCATCCCGGTGGTGGAGTTGGTCATGTCTCGAGGTGAGAGAGATTTTCACAGGCACCGTGTTTCTTTCTCTAAGGACGTTGTGTTGCAGGTGATAGGTAACCAGCCTCCGCAACCACATGCTGGGGAAGACGTTATGATGTGGGGACCAGAAAAAGATGGCCACTTCAGAGTGAGGTTAGCCTATGACATTGCCAAGGGTGAGGTGGTCAGGTGGTGGGACTTCGACTGGCGGAAGATCTGGAGGTGGAAGGGCCCAGCCCAGTTCAACCACTTCCTCTGGCTGGCAATCTAGAACCGACTACTCACTAACCAGGAGCGCACGAGGCATCACATGGCTGATTCTCCCTTATGTGGTAACTGCAAATAACATCTAGAAACAATCTTGCATGTACGAGATTGTTCTTTTTTCAGGTTAACTTGGCTGCGTCTCACTCAGATTTACTATCAGCATGACTTTTTCAACAGTCATATCTAGGAGTGGATTCTCCATAACATTCACAGGGAACATACCGGTCTTGATTTTGATATCATCTGCTGGTCCCTTTAGAGGACCAGAAACGACAGTCTTTGCAGGCAAAGTCGTTACCACTAAAGCCTTTCTACAGTGAGCCCTAGCTTGGATAACTGTCGCGAGGCATGCCATGGACAAAGACAGACTCATCCATATGCCTAGTCTGCCTGCCAGAACGAAGGTAGAGATCTCTTGGAAGCCACCACCTCCCGAGTGGGTGACTCTCAATTCAGACAACTCCATCATTCATGAGTCCGACTTGCTGCAGCAGGTGGCCTGATTAGAGATCATACAGGATGTTGCTTATAGCATTCACCAGCAACTAGGGGATAGGTTCTATTACCCGAGCAGAATTGAAAGGCGTTGTAGATGGACTTCAGATGGCCTGGGAGTGAGGATACCGCCAGGTTTGTGTGGATATTGACTCTTAGTGTGCACTTCAGCTCCTGCAAAACCCGACGTGTACAGATCATCATCATGTTTCTATCATCGATTGCTTCCAGGAATTGCTATCAAGAGACTGGGAAGTCTCTTGCCATCATATTTACAGAGAGGGGAATAAATGTGTCAATTTCTTAGCTAATCATGGACATTCCGTCCCTTTGGGGCTTCATTTTGTTCCGGTGTTGGATCCTCTTTTGAACTATCTTATTTTATATGACTGTCAAGGTCTTTCTGAGCCTCGTCTTGTTTTGAATGAAAGCTGAGATGCATTGTATCCATTAATATAAAAATAGTTCCATAATTATACTTTAATATGGTTTCACAAACATCAAATAAATAATACTTGAAATCTTGAATTCGAAACAACTTATGTCTTCGAGTATAGTTTCATAACCTTATCTTCTTGTCCATTGTTCCTTACAACTTTATTGAATACTTAAACAATACAAGTATACAACGAATAAATTTTTCCTTTTTTTAAGAATTGGTTAAAATTTTATATCATAAAAAACCCCCTGAACCTAGTGACAACACCACTCTGCCAACTGAGTTAACAATCCACTATCTATTATCTACTAATAGTATCCATAACAACCCAAAACCTATACTCAAGAGTAAATCAAAATCTAGCAGGCCAAAACTCTGAAACATTAACATCATCAAAAAAACATTTCAATATCCTTCTTAATCTGCATTATTAGATCATGGATACTTCTTCTGGTTCCTCCTTGTCTCAGGGCACATCTCTCCCGCTAGATTGAGCTGATAATGGCCCGCCATATCACTTTCGCAATATGCTTCTGAGTCTCTTTAACTTTAAATGTCTTAATAGCCCATGGCAATTCCTCCTCCCAGCTGTCCGATAGAGTTCTCGGGAAAATAGGGTGCAACAGCCCTGAATACATCTCATGAAAAACTGCACATTCTGCGAATAAATGAGACCTAGTCTCGAGAGGACAGTCACAGAAAGAACATGCAAGTGAACCTGCAGTCCCCCAGTTTTGCATCTTCTCTCCTGTCAAAATAAAGTTCTTTATAACAAGCCATACAAGGAATTGGTTTCTGGGGATAGAGGGTCGTTTCCAGACAAGAGAGAACCAAGAGACAAGGTTATCTCTTGGTCTGAAGTTCTCCCAAACTGCTTGTATACTGAATCTGTTCATCTTCTTCCCATTCCAATATACTTCTCCATTCACTAGTGCCATCTTTTGACAAATCTTATCTCTACTCTTGAGGAACTTTAGCCAGATCCAAGAACCAGCTTTAGACTGAAACTGCCAGAAGTCACGGTTTTTAATTCTGTACTCTTTAACCAAGCAACCCGGAGAGAACCCTGCTGCAAAAGGATAAGCCAAATATATCTGACTATACATGAGAAGTTCCAGCTCACTAGGTCCCTAATTCCCAATTCACCTTCCTTTTTAGAAAAAGTAAGGAAATGTCATGCAGTTACAACCTTCTTCCTTCCATCAGGGCCAACTCCCCATAAATGTAAATTACTACATAGCTTCTCAATCTCCTTTATAACTCTCTTGGGAAGAATGAACACAGTCATCCAGAATTTTGTCAAGCTAGCTAAAACAGACAAAGTAAGCTATAATCTGCCTGCATAGCTGAGAAATTTAGATTTCCAACACTGTATTCTACTTATTATCTTGTCAAGCAAAGGTTTGTAAGCTGCAATTGATAGTTTGCCAGGAATAAGAGGTAATCTCAAGTATCTAATAGGGAGTGAACCTAGTTTATAACCTGCTCGCCGAGCCATCTGTTTCTGCCACTCAATAGGGACCCCCCCCCCACAGAATAATTCACACTACTCAGGGTTTGATTTCAATCCAGACATCCTTCTAAACTCCCCCAAAACTCTCTGAATACATGAATCCCGTAATTAGAACCATCCGAAAAAGTAGAAGGTCATCTGCAAACGTCAAGTGAGAGAGCCCTAGCCTTTTACACATCAGATGGAATGGCATTTGACCTTTCCTGACTGCCTTTCCTGTTAAACAAGAAAAAAAATTCCATAGAGATAGCAAAAAGGTAAGAAGACAGGGGGATGATCCCCCTGTCTCAAACCTTTCTTCAGTTTTGGGGTTGTCACACACATCACTATCCAATTCACAAACATTATTGGAAAGTTCATTGCCTTCATTACAGTAATCAGAAAATCCCAATCAACCGAATCAAAAGTCTTCATAATGTCCACTTTCACAATGCTACGGGATGAAATATTAGATCTATTATACTTTGCACCAATTCATGAGCAAGCAGAATGTTCTCACCAATAACCCGACCCTTGATAAATGTTGTTTGGTTATGGCTAATTAAGGTAGGCAATACTGAACTTAGCCTAGTTGCTAGAACTTTTGCAACACGCTTGTATAAGGTGTTATAACAGAAATTGGTCTCAAATATTTCATCTCTTATGAACTCTGAGTTTTAGGTATCAATCCTTTTTGAATGATGGTGTATGCAATTTTTTTTTTTTTTGTTAATGGTTAATTTAATCTAAAGTTGATATAGTTTCATAAGAATTTTATTTCAAAAGGCTTACAAGTTGGAAGAGTTGTTTGTGAACATAAACTCATTTCGATGAATAGCAACTTCTTGTTAAGTGATTATCGACTGAGAATTTGTGATCTTGCGCACTTTGTAACGTCGGCGAACCAAACCACAAAATTGAAAATACACCGGTCACCATATCAAAGCCCAAATCAGGGCCCAACCCAACTCCACCCGCTCCGCCGCGAGGACACCGACGTTAACCGAATCAAAACTCCCGGGCAAATTCTCGGCGCAAAACCACCAGGGGGCAGGCAGCCATGAACGCGATCTTCAATCTCCAAAGGGAAACAAACAAATTATGGCCGAAGCGAAAACCCACAACTCAATCTCTTCTCAGGTCTCCCTTCTTTATCCTCGCGATCTCTCTTCTCACTCTCTTCCTCCTCCTATTCCTCTCAATTTCCACCTTCCAAACATCCAAATCGCTCTTCTCAACGCAAACCCTAAATACCCAGAAACCTCAATGCGGAAAATTCCATGCTTCAGCCCGGGAAGGAGAGAAGTTTCTCTGGTACGCACCCCACAGTGGATTCAGCAACCAGCTGTCGGAGCTCAAGAACGCGGCGGTGATGGCGAGGATTCTGAATCGAACTCTGGTCGTCCCTCCGATCCTCGATCACCACGCTGTGGTCCTCGGAAGCTGCCCAAAATTCCGGGTTACGGCGCCTAACGAGATTAGAGCTTCGGTTTGGAATCACGCCGTTGAATTGATGAAGAGTGGAAGGTACGAACTATAGATGTTATGCAATTTGCTTGAACTGCTTGTTTGTACGAAGTTGGTCACGGCGAATTGGGTTAGATTGGGGTTTATATTGAAGGATTGGGGCTTAGTAGTTCTTATCATCTTGGCAACTGCTTCTACTGTAGGTATGTATCGATGACTGACATTATCGATATCTCGCCACTAGCATCTGCTTCGCTTCGTGCAATCGATTTCAGGGTCTTTGCAGCCTCATTCTGTGGTGTAGATGTGGATTCCACTTGTGCAAATTATCTAAAACCAGGGTCGTCTTCATCGTTTGATATCCTTAGGGAGTGTGGAAATGTGCAATCTGGGATTGAAGGTAACATAGGTGGGTGTTTGTATGCAGTAAAGGAGGACTGCAGAACGACTGTATGGACTTACGAGAATGGTGATGATGGAGAGTTAGATTCATTTCAACCCGATGAACAACTCAAGAAGAAGAAGAGGATTTCGTATGTAAGGAAACGTCGAGATGTGCATAAGACCCTTGGACCGGGATCTGAAGCTGGCTCAGCCATCGTTCTTGCATTCGGATCCCTTTTCTCCGCTCCATACAAAGGCTCCGAGTCCTATATTGATATTCAGAAAGTAAAGAACAGTGAATTCCTCCCCTTTGTCCCTGAAATATTGAATGCGGGGAAGAAGTTTGCTTCGGGGAGGATAAAAGATCCTTTCCTTTGTGCACAGCTCAGATTGTTAGATGGGCAGTTTAAGAACCACTGGAAGGCTACATTTCAGGGTCTGAGACAAAAGCTTGGATCTTTGAACCAGGGGGATGATCAGCCAGTCAACATTTTCGTGATGACAGATCTTCCTCGGGGTGACTGGAGCGGAACTTATCTGGGCGAGCTAGCTAGCATTGAGAAGCGGTTTAAGTTGCATTTTCTTAGGGAAGAAGATAGACTGGTTGCTGAAACAGCAAGACAATTAGGAAAGAGAGGAAGTAGAGGGAATCTACATTGTCCTCATCAGAAATCGCTGGATGTTCTCTTGTACATAGAAGAAAGCGTCTGTAGCTGTGCATCCCTCGGTTTTGTTGGTACAGCTGGATCGACGATTGCTGAGAGCATAGAGCTAATGCGGAAGTCAGATGTCTGTTCCATTCTTAATCGGACTGCAAGATGACACTCGGTGCTGGGATACAAACGAAGTTGGGTTTGCCTCCAAAGTAGAAGCAAGCAACTACTTGTGAGTCAGAGCTCCTGCCACTGTAAAATGCCGGGAACCATGCATACTTAAAGTTTTGGGAAGGTATTGTTTAGTGATGCTCCAATCTACCAGATGAAGGAATTGCTCTGGTACCAAATGCCAATGCTCGGGTGTCTCCTCGCGGTGCACGGAAATGTAAGCTTTCAACTTTTAACCATGGAGCTTTTACTAACCAAAAGTTATTTAAACGATCACTAACCAAGTAACTGCATGATTCTTTTTGTCCTTCCTTCCATTAATCCACCTCTCCTATCTTTCGACATTTTTGTTCCCTGAGTACTTGTTCTAAGAACACTCAGCTTGAACTCTGGTTTTCTTTGTAAGGTGTTTCCAGTGAAACTCTGTTGGTGTTCGAATGGGTACAGCGGACTCTCTTGAGAACGACGGCCATCTCGCCATGATTTGGACCTTTATAAATATTGTTCGAATAAGGAAGAAAGAAGAGAAACGGCAGCCACGTTTCACATGTTACCAGAGCTAGTTTCATTTTGCCCGTTTCGTTCACATGTTTCACATGAAACAAGGAAAAAAGAAGAAAAACACGGTGCCTTTTGCTTCTACCCGCCAAAATTTATCAAACATAATCATGTAGACTGTAGAGAACTTGCCGGCCAGTGGTTATCATGCCGAATGAGTTGTTAGTGTTGTGGTATATGATCCACGATTGAACCTCTCCCAACAACTCGAGTTATTGGGATCAACTGGTTCATGACATGGTATCAGAGCTTTCTGTGACCGAGAGGTCTTGTGTTCGATTCCCGGTGACCCCCATTTGTTAAGCACATGGTATTCTTGTCTTCAGACCTGTGCAAACTTCAAGCCCTTGTGAGTGGCTTTCGTTTGAGGGGGCGTGTTAGTGTTGTGGTATATGATCCACGATTGAACCTCTCCCAACAACTCGAGTTATTGGGATCAACTGGTTCATGACATGAGTAAGCATAAGCATCATATGCTTTATGCTTATGCTTTTTTGCAATTTTATTTGATTGTTTTTAGATCCATCGCGGCCGGCATCACGGTATTAGTTAGAACTTGCCGACCGTTTGGAAGTTGCGATTGTTAAATAGATGTATTGTTGAGAATGCATGTATAATATTATACATGTATTGTCGAATTTGATGCATTGTAAAATACAACGTTTGGTATGTGTGATTGTGTATGTCGCATCATCTAAAAGCTGAGACAAAACAATCTCAACTCAACTATCTCAACAATCACAACTAAAAGTTGGGGTTAAAAGTTGAGATATAACAATCACTCAAAATGAGTGATAGTTTCTGTCACATCACAGAAACAACAATCCATGTATTGTTTCTGTTAGAAAAACAAAAAAAACAATGCATTGTAAACAATACATGCATAATTAGGGGTGATAATCGGTTCGGTTGCGGTTTAACCGAACCGACCGAGCGGTTAGCCGACACCGATAAGGGGTCAGAACAGCCAACCGCAACCGCAACCGATTGCTCACTCGGTTAACCGCAACCGCCAACCGAGAGGGTCGGTTCGGTTTAACGGTTAACATTTAACCGCAATAAATGCAAAAAAAAAAAGAAGAAAAAGAAAATAAAATATTAATTTTGCCCACCCCAAGCCCCATTCTCGATCCTTCTCCTTTCCTGCTACCTTTCCCTTTCTCCAAAAGTTAATTCTCTCTCTACCGCTCTACCCTCTCCAATTCCATTGACAAATTCCAATCTCTACCTCTCTACTACCCTCTCCCCTCACCAAATCAAAACAAAAAATCAACACATGCACAACTTCCATGAGACAATTTTGCCTAGGTTGGCAGCAAACGATTGTGAGGAGTGAGGTCGACGGCTGACGAGATCGAGATTGTGAGGACGGCGAGGTCGGGACGGCAAAGGGATGTGGGCGGTGAAGCTCGCGGCGAGGTCGAGTTGGGAGGGGGAGACGGGCGGCCAGGTCGAGAATGAAGAGGTGGGAGCGAGAGCCTGGGGAAGTTGGGAGGATGAGGGGAAATTAGGGTTCGATTGTGGCCACTTGTGGGAATGGAAATTGGAGGTGCCATGGAGGGCGATGATGGGTTGAGAAAGAAGGAGGGTCGAGGCTGGATGTGAGGGGTTGAGGAGAGTGGAGGGATAAGGATGGCGGCGGGTGTGAGAGGGGACTGGGGAGAGGCAGGATTTTGCGATTTAGGATTTTAGGTCATTAGGATTTAGGGCAGGGGAGGAGGGAACGAGAGGGCGAGAGGCTGTCTGTCTGGGGCGTCGGTTTCGTCGGTTTTGTGCGGTTAATTTGTGCGGTTGCGGTTTTTAACCGCTAACCGCGACAATTGCCCACTGGCCAGATTCGCCCAACCGCAACTGCAAACCGCAATAAACCGACGGTTTTCGGTTGGTCAATAAACCGACGGTTTCGGTTCGGTTTCGGTGGTAACCGACAAACCGGAGACCGATTAACAGCCCTATGCATAATGACAATCTCAACAAAACTATCGCAACTTCCAAACGACCCCTTATCTACTAATTTAGGTGGTAAGACTTTTGTGTCCCTCATCTTCTACTACCAAAATTAAAATAGCTAGAAATTAATTTTTTTGATTCTCTAATTTAGATTTCTGGCACTACCTGCGAACATATATGAAACTACAAATAAATTACGCTCATAAACATAATTAATGTGGGAGAGGTTAGAGTGCTTGAGTGTTGAGAGGGACCATGACCCCTTCTAACTTTTGCGTCCTGTATATGGTACCGTTTTAACAATTGTAGCAAGCAAACCCATTTTGATTTCGTTTCTTGTATGTCGATGTCGTTAATTGACTTAATTGAATTTTCTTTGTATAACTATTTAATACAAAATCAGGTGAGTTGCTACCTATAATTACATCATATGCAAGCAATGTTATCAACCTGATTTTGCCCAGTTAGTCTGGCCTAGTAAGTGGGTGAAGAATTAACCGTCTGATCGATTTAACTTGGATATCACCATTTTACATAATTTTTATACTTAGATTCGAATAATTAATAACTTATCTTACTTGAGTTAACCGTATTTTTTTTTTATGTCTGAAAGCAAAGTACTACCCCTCCTAAGGAAGTTTTGGAAGCAGAAAGAGGATGGAACTCTAGTTTTATGCGGAAAGGTCTGATGGCGGCAAAAGCTCTTATCAAGAAAGGTTATCGATGGAAAATTGAGAATGACAATAGTGTAGATATATGGAAAGACCTATGGATAGGGATGGCAACAAAATTCGAACCTACGGGTATTCGATCTGACCCAATCAGGTCAATGCGGATAAAACACGTGTTGACGGATTTCGGGTTTAAACCCGTTACACTGTTCACCTGGTTGGGTTGCATTTGGATTTAGTGATACCCGACCTATGGATACCGACTCACACTTATTCCGTCGCCCTACTCTCCCCAAACCCTACCATAATTCTAATTTTTCTCAATCTAACTCTCACGACACTCACTACTCACCTGCCGCCTCCGCAGTCCCCACTCTGCTCTCTCCCCCAAAACCCCATCTCCTTCCCGATCCGACTTATTTCTTACTATCAAGGTATTATTACCTTTTTCCCAACAGAAGCGGGAGGGATAAATTAATAATTGAAGTTGAACAACATGTTTGTGATTCGATGCTCTCTCACAAACAAAAAGGGAATGAACAAAAAATAAGGAATTGTGTGCTTTTATTTAGTGTAATTGTGATTTGTTTGAATTTTCTAGATTGGTGTTTTATGTATGGATAATTTGTATGGAAAAATTTATGTTTGAATTTTATTTTGATAGGAACTTGTTATTGTAATTTTTTCATCACAAAAACCCATGGGTACCCATGAACCCGGGGATACCCAGCGGGTTGGGTTAGGTTTGAGTTTTCCAAACCCATTGAATTTTCCCCATACATTTTTTACGGATAATTGGCAAAACCTGACCCAACCCGACCCTACCTATGGATCCCGAACAGTGAGGGGTTCAAAGTGAAATCTTCAGTTTCGAGAATTGGGAACACTACTTCGGTAGCTGAACCGATGGATATAGAAACCAGGACATGGAAACAGGATCTGCTGCAAGCTTTTTTTCATCCAGAAGATTCCAATTCTCGCCAACCTTGTATGGATGAAAGGGTTTGGAGTTTGGAAAACTCAGGGGATTACTCTGTGAAGTCTGCATATCGACTTTGGAAAAACAAGGATGATGAGGAGATGGGAGAGCTATACACCAGTCAATTGGGATCGTGTTTGGAAGTTACAGATACCCCCAAAAGTAAGATTGTTCACTTGGAGGTGGATCATGAACATTCTACCTACGGGGGTTAAAATATTTGAAAGAACACATAAAGGTCATGTGGGTTGCCGCTTTTGTGATCTACCAGAGACTCAAGAACACATCTTCAAGGATTATGCATGGGTTGGGAGGGTAACTAGGCTTACTGGCATGCATCTATTGTTCGAGAAGGGGAGAATCTCAAATGTGAGGAGTGTTATGCCGTTTACAAGAAACGAAGAATGATGAACAGCTGGAGAAATTCTTGGTTGCCCTATGATTTATCTGGGAACAGAGAAATAATCAGTTATGGAATAAGAGAAAATTGAATGAATGGGAAGTCATATAATGAGTGACTGAGTGGCTGCATGAATATCTGGAGATGTAGGAGATGAAAGCAGATTCCAACCACAGAAATGGGGAGGGTTGGTGACCTTCTCAATCTTCAGATTTTATATCTCAGTGCACGCGACGACTGTTTGACGGGATAGGGAACGAGGATGGGGGTTGTTATCAAAGGCAAAGATGACCAGTTTGTAGCGACGGTGGTAAGACAAACCCAACGGGCAATTGGAAGCAGCGGAAGCGGAGGCTCTTACGGTGATGTTTGGGATGTAAATGGCGAACCGTCTCCAGCTTCTTTCCATAGAAATTCAGATGAATTGCTAGCGGGTGGAGCATTTGATTACCGCCCAGCTAGAGTCTAATCTCGAGGTGAGCCAGATAACAAGGAAACACAGGAAATGGACCGGTTTTTTAGGAGGATTAAATGGAGTTATGTAATCAGAGCCCAGAATAGAATAGACTACTGTATGGCTAGGAGTGGGCAACGAGAAACAGATATTTGGGTATACTCATACACGTCTAGGGATGACAATAGGATGGGTTGGGGCAGGTTATGTCAAACCCAAACCCAAACCCATGGTTTATCCACACAACAAACTCGGGGTAAAACTCACTGGATTTGAAAAACTCAAACCCAACCCTACCCGTTGGGAATCTGCGGGCTCATGGGTACCCATGGGTTCATGTACAAAGATGCAATTATACTAGTTTTCACTACTATTGTCTACTACATACACTAACTCACAAATCATTCAAACTAATTGTTTAATATTAAAGATAAACATCCACAAACAATATAATTAAGGGATAATACCACTAGGAAACCCGAACTATTAAG